CTATATGAAGAAAATTACCTACTGATTATTTTGTTGAAATCACCCGGAGCTATCTTATAAAAAATTACTAATATTTATTATATTAATGAGATCTAAGATTTTCGCGAGTACTCATTTAAATGAAACTAATATTTTTTCGGATTTTACTTCGCCGAACGTCGGGACTCGGGAGTATGTAGTTTTCTAATCAAAAATAAAACGCGAAGTTAAATCCAAAAAAATATTAGTTTCATTTATTATATTTTTTTATACAAATTAAATTTAAATTCCCATAAAGTCTATATTTTTCATGATAATTTTTACGTGATCTTTATGTAATTAATTTGCGTTTAATATCAAAACCGAGTAACGTCTGTACATATACAACATAGTTATTTTAGTTATAATGACAAAATCATACGTTCTTCACATTCTGAGTACGTGGCGTCACAAAACAGAGATTCACTACTCTATTACATAACCAAATTATGTTGAAACTTTAACATCTTTTATTACAAAACCATATTTATATATGGTTTTATTTATAATGGTTATGATAATATTACTCAAAATTTACTATTTTATGTATGGAGTTGTTTAGTGTGTAAGTTCAAGAGATATTTAACCGTTGAGGTATTTAGACAAAAAGGTCGGACGCTAACTGCTAACCTAGATCGGCCTTAAGAATCTGTTGTTGGCTTAAAACATATAATATAAGGTAAGTAAATAAGCAGATTTACAGTACTTATATGTTAACAATTTTTATGAATTATCTATAACTAGCTTTCCGCCCGCAGCTTCGCCCGCGTGGCGTTCGGTTATATCGTTTCTAAGATGAGATGAGAACCTTTCAAAAGTCTGGGATAAAAACTATCCTATGTTCTTTCTCAAGGGCAACTCTATGTCTGTACCAAATTTCATTAAAATAAGTTCAGTGGTTTAGGCGTGAAAGCGTAACAGACAGACAGATAGACAGAGTTACTTTCGCATTTATATGTAATATTAGTAGGATTTAACTTGTATATTGATGTTTTAATCCAATAAGTACATATAATGTTTATTTATAATTTGAATGACTTATAAAAAATATGCAAGCATTGCATTACAAATAAAAATATATCCAAGAACACTTGTATCAGATAACGTAAGACGTAGAGATAAACCAATTCTTTATATTTACGTAATATAATATATGCTACCTTTTGTCATACAAGTTATATATGACAATTCATAATTCTATTGTTGCCTTTAGTTTAAAAAAAATGAATTATACTCATTAAATTCATGTTCAAATAACTTAATTATTATTAAAATAGTGAAACGTTACATTTAACATAAAAATTAAGACTTCAGAGCAATTAAAAACTTAGAAGATAAGTAAATTTATCTATGGAATAAAAGACATGGCTGTATGGGCTTTATTAATTTAGGTGGGCTGAACGGAGCGAATTTAATAAAAAAAATAATGTCAACTGTCAATTGTCACAATATGTATATATCATCGACATAATATACTAATAGACATGCCGTACGCGTATAATCCGCAGTAATTTTTTGGTTTGAAAAGAGTGAGAGAGATGGCCTATGCTTTCGGTCTAGCACTATCTCTTTCCTCATAGACTGGCGCTTGGATCATAACCTCTTAAGTACTATACTAATATATTTTGATAGAGATAAAGATAGACCGAAACTTCGTTACCTCTCTTTCTTACCACAATTCTCATCTCTAAGGCATGTCCATTAGTATATATCGATGGTATATAATATATATGATGTAGGCATGCTAATTGTCCGTGTCAGTGACTAGCGCACGATCTGTCGCGTGTTTAATGTCACTTTCCATTCAGCGAGGCGTCTCTGGTTTTCTGTTTCAAAAGCATGCGATCTCTCGCATGGAATGCTCATGTGATGCATGCAGGAAGTTTCTAGAATATTATAACTACATTCATAAGATCAATACTTATTGATTCATAGAATATATAAGATTTAATTTAATATTATCTGTATCTTTTTTATTGATACAAGCAGTATTAATTGAAACGTGATGAGTAACATATATAATAATAAACTTGAAATAAAATGGTTAATAAATCTTTAAATACTCAAAGTGAAGATAAAATAAATATATTACATATACAGTGTAAACTCCATATAACGACACTCGATTTAACGACAAACTCTCTAAAGCGTCGAAATCATTTAACTTTGGTTGGTTTAGCTTGTCTACCATACATTGATACACTCTATATAACGTCACAGCCACTCTCAATAACGACAAAATTAAGTAATAAAAAGTACCCTTTAAGTTGCTAAAATTAGTAAAAAATGCGCAGCTGTGTACGTTTTTTTGTCGCTTTGTTATCCTAGCCCGCAATAAACTCCACTGTCGTAATCATGCATACCAAACTTTCTGAGAAATTCGTTCTTCACCAATATGCCTCAATATCGCAAGATATGAATAAAATACGTAAAAAATACAACAACATTACCGGTGCAGCAAAACACGTCAAATAAAAACAACAGACTTCATAACATTCTTTTTTATGTACATAAGTACTAACAGTAGTCTGAAACAAACTTTGTCTTTTTCTAATTCTGATTTTTCTTCCCTCTATTTAACGGCAACTCTCTATAACGCACTAAAACGCACGGTCCCTTCAGTGTCGTTATATAGAGTTTACACTGTATATTGAATAACACTTACATTTGTTTTGATATATATATTTTTTAATACTTATATAAGTATATGATCTTTGAACAGGTTGAAGAGTCTTATAAGACTTATTGGAATAATACATAAGTGTTCTGACATGAACATCATACTATGAAGATATAGGAACAAAGTCATGGAAATATAATATGCTGGTTGATCATGAAAGACATTGTTCAGTATAGCTACAGGGCCTCTATATTAAGCAAAAATTATGCTATACTAAATCCACAAATCCTATACTCTTTATTTGAGGGGTCCACATAGATGTATTACCTCAATCTAGATTCATGGTCCATTAAGAACAAAAATTACTTGTGCTTATATATGAGTACAGTCACACATTCTAGAAGATTCCGTTACAATCTAGAATTTACACAAGGTCATTTGGTTCATAAACAATAAAATTAATCACAAATTATTCTGAATAAAATGCAACAATAACATTGAATCTAAAATGTAACTAAATATATTTACAACATGATATATAAAAAAATGTGTAAAATAAACATTGTGTGAACAGTAAATCATTAGATACTAATTACTCGGCTTTCAGATTGGCTGAATGGTTGTGGACTGTTGAGTTTTAAAACATAAATAAAATGCCGTGTTACCAATTAAAATTATACCACCGTTTGATAACTCAATCCGTTATGATTTTTTTCACATTAATTAATATTATTACGGCAGCGATATTTTTAATATTAAAACTAAAAGTTTTCTAAATGAAAGTGATAATAAATGTATTAGAAATTGATTTGAAAATTTATGATATTTTTTTTTTATCAATTAATGATTTGAAAATTTAAATATATACTTAAAAAAAATCTCTATTCAGCCATGATTACATATGGACTTATACATTTACCTTTGCTAGATTTCTGATTTATGTGTATTTTTTTTTACATATGTTTTTATTTTAATATTCATAATAGAGATTTAATTAAATCATTTAAGTCATATCACTGAATTACAAAATATTTTAATTACTCATTGAAATGAATATTAAATAGTTTTTCCTGTTTAAATTTTTAATTACCTAAACTAACTTTGTCTCATGCATATGATAGTGAGTTAAAAATTAATATTACATAATATTGAATTTCAAGCAAACCTTTTACGTTATATACACAACCTCTTAAAAAAAATAAAAACCTCTTTTGAGAAAAATTTAAATATAGAATGTTTCAAACATATGAAACAGTTAAATTATTTTTAAGTCCGATAAAATATTTTTATCAAGTTTAATGATGATAAAGTGACCTTGTTAATATTTAATCATCTCCAAGTACTATTAGTATTTAAATATATTAACAAAATTACTATTGTTTAAAATAAATAATTCTCATCAATCCAATAGTATCATATAATGACCATAAATAAATTTCATTAATACTTTTAAATATGGCAACATAATATTTGTATACTATTTTAGCATATATTTAGACAGTATAGGTAGTGATGACAAACATTGTATATAACTATAACTATATATCAAACTTAAATAATACATATGAACACACTGTGTATAACAAGCCCGACAATACATGTTTACAATAGATAAAACAAACAAAACCATTACCTTCATTTATTAAAGTCAGTCAAAGACAATGCCGAGATAATCATAGAGTTGAACACTTCTTAATTAGTACCGTCATTTATACTTTTAATATTTAAACCGATGACTATTTTTATACTGCATTGTTACAAAAAAGATTTTATTAATAATGTCCTTGTTAGCTAATCTTTCATGTAAAACACCAAATTAATGTGTCATAGTAATTATTAACAGATTTGAGCTAGTTTTATACTTTGTTTGACAAAATCATAAATTACTGATATTTTTGACAATATGTTTATGTACATAAATCTTGTAATGTGATTCACTTCTGGTTTTCAACAAATTAGGATATAAATAACATATGACAGCTATGAGCTCATCACATAGCCTTCTAATATCCTGAGAATATCAATATGCAACCACGGTCAGCGTTGTAACAACAAAAACACAATCTAGTGACCTAAATAACGCGCATAATAAGTGCAGTAATAATATACTTTCATGCATACGAGAGTGCGAGAAGTTTTTATGTGCATCGTAAATGCACATAATGTGTTCGTTTATACAGGCACCATCGACTATCGACTGTTGAAATAGCTCGTGAGTGTCGCATATACTTATACTCGGTTCTGTAATCTACATCAAACTGCGAATTACGATTCTACGAACTTAAGACGCCAGCCGTGAATCGTGATGGTGTTGTTGGATTGACCGCAGACTTTAAATTATATAAACCAGAATATAAAATACCTTGATTATCAGCTCAATCTCTGGAACGTCTCCGTTTGCTGTTCCATTTTCTGCAATTTCATCCGACATCATGAACTCCAAAAACACTAAATTATTATATATATCTAAATGCACTCTAACACACAACCGTCACTGTTTACTTAATTCAACCGACTGCCTTTAAGGCAGTGCCTTACTTCAGTTCAGTCAGTGTGTAAATTCTAATTATTACGATGACGCGTAACACTAATGACATCTGACATTTGTACTGTACCTAGCTTCAAGGGTAACATTATAAAGACATTAACAATTAGTTCATAGAATTTACTGCAAAAAGTATTTAAATTAACCTAATTACCAAAAAAGAGAATAAAATACTACACAAGACATAATTCTATTCTATTTAGAAGCCTGAATTAAAATTTGACTTTACTTAATTATAAAATATTAGTGAAATTATATTATTTCATGTTTTTTGGTTCTCTATTCTTAATATTAAATGCGCGCAAAAAAAAATTATTTAATATATTTTTCATAATTTATAAAGTAAGGTATTATAATAGATTTCTATAAATATGGTACGTCATACACTGTACTAATGTAATAACTAAAATGTCACTTGTCAGTTGATGTTGGCTGTCTCATTTTTATGTTTGTAAATTTGTTTATTAATTAAGTGCACTTATATTTCTTAAATTTGGGACATTTTTGTGGTAATACATAAAAATGAGCAATCCAGAAGCTTCCACAGCAGAGGGCAAAGAATTAAGTTTCGCGGAAAAACAAGCTGAACGTATGAAAAGATTGCGTTCATTACACTCAGCTAGAAACGAAGCTCGAACACATAATCACCAGGAAGTAGTAGCAGAAGAAGCTAGAAATAAACTCCCCGTCAACTACGAAGCTAAAAAACGACAAGCGGAATGGCTTTTAGAAGACCAAAACAAACGTGAGGAGGCTACGAAACAAGGCAAGGATTACGACAGAGTTAAACTACTAAACATATCTGCGGTTGAAGCAGAGAGATTAGAAAGAAAGAAGAAGAAGAAAAATCCAGACCAAGGGTTTTCCAGTTACGAACAGGCCACTGTCCGACAATACAACCGATTGATAAAGAACATGCCGACAATGGATAATGAGGAATACGAAAAACAGAAACAGAAATACGGTGAAGCGTTCTACGGAGGGCCCAACGTTATTATACACGGTATGCACGAAGACCGCAAGGAAGCTGTCGATAAAATGGTGAATGATTTAGAGGGACAGATAGCAAAGAGATCGAAATACTCAAGAAGACGTATTCATAATGACGATGCAGATATCGACTACATCAATGAACGTAATGCCAAGTTCAATAAGAAATTAGAGAGATTCTACGGAGAACATACTGCTGAAATTAAACAGAACCTCGAAAGAGGTACTGCTATATAGTTGTTAAGAAATTTATGGTTTTTTGTAAATAAATACTTACCGCAAACATACTTGATATTATTTAGATTTTTTAATTAAATATATCATTGAATATTTGTAAGATTTGTGAAAATTTTTATGGTCTTACTGAATTGCAATAAACAATAGTAACAATTAAAATTATAATTATAATATTGTTTGTAATGTCTGAATGAATGATGCTCACTCTGGAAATTAAAATTTATAAATCATATTAGGTCCAAAAATAAATTAAGGATTTTTATTTTTTATTATGGCTTCATTTGCACTAGAATCATGAATATTTCGCCTATATCAACAATATTTGTTTTTATTTGTTGGACAAATTATCTTGAGTACTATGTGAAGATAACATGAAGGAGTTTGTTGGATGGGAAAAAAGAAAATTTAAATTAAACAAATTTCAATAACAAGTTTATTTTGATATACAGATGATAAAAATAAGTACATATTTGTTACAGATAATATTTATCTAAATACATAAAGCACTAACTTTCGTTTTTTTTTGTAATAATATTTTTCTGTGCATGTTTTAACATTATTAATCTATTAAAAAAATAAAGACTTATCAAGCATGTTTAATGAAAGATTTTTTTTATAAAAAGGTATAGGCATTTGTTACTGTCTAATAAGTTACACAATACATAACAACTTTGTTGATATACCAGAAGTTCTACTGCCATAATTTTATGTAAAAACAAGATATAAAGAATGTCTAGTTAATTAACTAAATAAAAATTTGTGAGCAAAGGTATTGTTGTGAAAGCTATTATTAGACTTTCTAAATGTACAACAAAATTTCTAAAGGTATAACAAAATTTATTTAAAAGGAGTTTTGTCCATATAATGTTCTGAATTCAAAACCTTTTACTTATTTTTTTCCAATGCTCATCCATACCTATTATATCGGGTTCAGGGTTGTCATCTGTTTTAAACACATACCAGTAATTATGTATTATATAAGAGAATGGATTTGTTAAAACTGATATCTATAAAGTGGAAAAATTCAATACATTAGGTAGTACTTTTTTATTACTTCAGGACGGTCTTGCCACTTGAAAAAATTAAGCTACAATGTTTTTTTATCATCACATTGAGACGGTAATTTATGAAACTTTAAACTGTTGGTACTTTGGTAGGTATTGTAATCTCGGACTAAGAATACAGGATATGCGTTTAAAAGAACCTTTGCAAATTAAACAAAAATACTTTTGAAAGTTGAGACAATAAAATATACATGAATAGTAAATATAGTTGTTATTTCATATTTGACCTACGTTAAAACTTGCACAGATATATTAAAGCTTATCTTAAACAAAAGATATACAAAAACTAATATGACTGCATCTCATACATAGGTTCTAGCATATATAATATATACATTACACAATAAATGAGCACGTTTTAACTTTTATACAATGGAAAGAAATACTCTTTGGAGTCAGTCCTGTAAAAGATGACATTAAGTAATAAATATAATCTTGATTCTCAAATCATCGCATACAGTTATCGAATTATTTTGAGCAAGGCAAGAACTATTCCATTAAAAAATAAATGTTTTTTTTTCTCATATATTGGCAAATTGCTTGTAGCAAGCGTGCAAAGTCGCCATTATACAGTCTTCTATTGTTCATTGAAATTTTCTTAGAAACATTTATTTTTAAAACATTTTGTCAAGTTCGTAGTTCATTAATGATACAGTAAAATGAACAAAATTAAAGAAATAGGAAAAAATATTTTTTGTCTGAGGGCAAGTAATATGTCACAATAATGATTTTATTCTGGCAAATAAATATTTAAAACATACATTTTCTTTTAACTTTAATCTTTATTATAATTTTTTATCCTGCACCATCGTCTTTAATTTTATATGGCTTAATTATGTATTTATTCCTGTTTATAAGTGAATATAATATATACCGAGTAGTTCAGACTTTAGATGTCACCATTTGACAAATTAACTTTTAATGCAAATCTATTTTGACGATGTTTTATGTACTTGGCACGTAATATACAAAGTTTACTAAAAAAAGTTGTTACATATTTCAAATTATATAAACTGTGAAGTCTCGCTTTTCTAGTAAATAAAAAGAACAATATACCAACTATTTTAAAAATGGTTTTTACATGTAAGTAATACGTTATAGGTAAACAATTTACCTGAAAAATGCCGTAATTATAATGATTATAAGGCATTGAATCGGAATACAATCAAAAAGCTTATATTTCTGTGAACATATGTAACACTAAGTTTTATATTTTGAACATAATTATAATGAACTTTATATAATGCAAATGACATTTCCTAAAAACATCCTGAATACATACATACGCACGGTATTCTTGTTGTAATTTAAAACTTTTTTAACAATATAATATTACATTAACACCGAGTCCAGCTCAGTCTTTAAATTCGTGTTTGATAAAATAATTATTTGCTTAACGAATAATAATTCTGCGAATGAAAAACTATCAATTCTTCAATTACGCATTAAAGTTTTTAAAATTGAATTGTTAATAGAATTTGACTCTATAAAATCATCCATGACTTGAATATAAAAAAAATCGATTATGCCTTTAATACTGACTAGACGAAAAAACAGCAATTGATATTTATATGTTAAATATAAGAAAACTTCAAAGATTTTATAAATTATAATTCAAAAGGCGTTACAATCCAGATTTTCCTGTTTCTTATTATCATCAACATGAGTTATTAGCTTCTAGTAACTAAGGATGACAAATCCACAAGTAAGCGCCATATCCTCAAAATGTAGATTAATAAATTTTACGTTTGAATTTAAACTGTGGACGTTAGTGAGAGAATGAAATATGCCATTCATATCTACGTACGTATACAATTAGTTAAATATTATTTATTACTTACCTGTGAACTTTATTTTAAAATTATAGGTGAACATTTTATATACCTCACATATACATATTATATATCTCACATATAATACATATATATTTTTATATCATACACATGTCAAAATAATAATTCCTCTCTCTAACGCCATTCATATAATTTAATGTATTTTGCAATAAATCGATTTCGAAAAACATGGCACTTGCTTGATTACCAGCTGTATTTTTACTACCAACATTAGCCTTTGATTCGGTAAATTATTATTTTCTTTTTTAGAGTTTTTTCAGAGTATCCTTATTTAATTTTAACAACACATATATTATGTGGATACTAACATATGATTTAAAGTGATTTCAATTTCAAATCCAATATGGCGGACTAGTTATTTTTTTGTTAAGGTACTATATTAAAAAATTCTAAGAATTAGTTTGTTTGTAATAAAATTACATAGGTGTACAACTTTGCTTCCGCCGTTTTGCAATAGATGATTGTAGCGGTAAGTGGTAGTCGAAATAAATAGATCGTAGATGTCATACAATAAGCTTAGGCATTTGTAAACATAACGCCATCGAAATATTAGTCGATTTGTGTCTGCATCATAAAGTTATTCTCGATTAAACATGTCAGCTTACGAGCCAAATTCTCGTCATTTGCGGGAGGTTTTAATTTTCTGCTTTAATATGAAGAAATCTGCGGCTGAGGCTCATCGAATGCTCTCAAATACCTATGGTGAGGCCACTATTAGTAAAAGAACGTGCCCAGAGTGGTTTCAACGCTTCAAGAACGGTGATTTTGACGTCGAAGACCGGCATGGCGGTGGAAGAGAGAAGCTTTTCGAAGATGCAGAATTGGAGGCATTATTTGATCAAGACTCGTGTCAAACGCAACAAGAATTGACAGGATCATTCTGAGTGATACAACAAGCCATTTCAAAACGCCTGAAAGTCATGGGAATGATTCAGAAACAAGGAAATTGGGTGCCGGACGAGTTGAAGCCGAGAGATGTTGAACGGCGTTTGTTTGCTTGTGAACAGCTGCTTGCAAGGCAAAGACGGAAAGGATTTCTGCATCGCATTGTGACTGGGGACGAAAAATGGGTTCATTACGATAATCCCAAGCGCAATAAATTATGGGGATATCCCGGCCATGCTTCCACGTCGACGGCCAAACCGAATATTCACGGTTCCAAGGTATGCTCTGTATTTGGTGGGACCAGCTCGGCGTAGTGCATTATGAGTTGTTAAAACCGACTGAAACAATCACAGGCCATAGTTATCGAACGCAATTAATGCGTTTGAGCCGAACATTGAAAGACTAACGGCCGCAATACAACGAGATACAGGATAAAGTGATTTTACAGCATGACAATGCTCGACCCCATGTTGCGAAAGTGGTCAAGACATACTTGGAAACGTTGAAATGGGAAGTCCTACCCCACCCGCCGTATTCTCCAGACGTTGCTCCCTCGGGCTATCACTTGTTTCGATCAATGGCACACGGCCTGGCTGACCAGCACTTCCGGTCTTATGAAGAAGTTAAAAATTGGATCTATTTGTGGATCGCTTCAAAAGATGACCAGTTTTTTCAACGCAGGATTCGTATGCTGCCCGAAAGATGGGAGAAAGTAGTGGCCAGCGATGGACAATACTTTGAATCATAAATGTATAACCAGTTTTTTACAATAAAGCCTCGAATTTCGGAAAAAAACGGCGGAAGCAAAGTTGTACACCTAATATTTGAAACTATTTAATTTCCTTAATAAAGCAAGTTGAATAATAGATATTAAGAAAGCAATTTACTCATTTTAGGACTTCAAGGTATTTCATATTCACATATTAAAATATCCTAGAAAATATTTATTTTCGATCTAAAAATAATTTCTACAATTTGAGAATATATGATTACAATTGTCAGTACTTATGATTAAAAACATTTTTGTTTAATTTAATAATATTCTCTCTATATTTAATAATAAAACATATTAAGAGAATGTATAAATTTATTTTCCTATCCACCTTAAGTGCAGCAGTGTTAAATGAAAATAACTTTCGGTTATTCGCATTTGGTACAACAGAGCACTCAGTGAGAACAGGAAATATTTATTATCTGTCACAGAATATACTATATTCTTTAAAATGCTCCAACAATTCCAAATATCATCGCAGTTATTAAAACTCTCACCAAAATCAACCTACAGCCATTTTGGAATGTGCAAATTATAGATTGACTAAAATATAACTACCAAATGCGAATATCACAGACTATATTTCTTATACTACTGCACTTAAGATAGATAAACTTAATAATATATTTCATTTTCAGTACGGCGTTTTATAAAACCCATGACCGCACTATTTCTGAAAAACAAATGATTTCGAATTGATTTCAGCCAATTTTATCGCCAATTATGATAGAAAATATTTTAATGTCGTCATTTTAATTAATTATATTTATATACTTACTTCGCCGACCGGGCATTAAGCGTACAGTGATTCCGTCCGGTGCACGAACTGTTTACAAAATATAACTTATTATAATCATATTTATTATCTGTGGTTTAATAATATTATTTTGTTATTATAATCAGCCAAAGACAAAACCATAGACAGCACGACGATAGAAAAAAATAACGTAAAAAGAACTTACCTCGTGATTTACAAAAGGGTTTAAAAGTCAGTGACAACATCGGGTATTGGAAAAAAGCATAAAAACATTATTCAAAATTCTAACATTTTATTTTTAAATAGAAAATAAAATAATAATCACATTCTTCAAGCAATTGTGTAAACTTCCCATAATTCGAAAAACATTTTCCATAATCACCGAACAACGGGGTCAAAATACTAATAGTATTATTTTATTTGACATAATTAAAGCGTAAAATGGAATATTCAATGCAATATTTTTGTGGATTTAAGCTACACTTTATGTTTAAACGAAGGGCACCTAGTTTAAATAATTCCATTCTAATACTTAAAACCAGTCAGTAACTAATTAAATACATTTTAAATAACGCCGCAGAGAATATTATATAAATATATAATAAATTCAATTAATTTACCAAAAGGACACTAATATTTCTATTTTTCTATGAATTTTCATATTTATATGTATCACCATTTGTGTGATTAAGTATGTATTTACTATATCGTCGGGGAAAGCGCAAATCCGCATAACTACCATTGGATAATTCCGCGTATCTACATTGGAAGCAGATTATCAGAAGTTTTAACGGAAATATTTTCCATATTACGTCTTTTTAGGTATAGTTTCACAATCAGTAATTATTTAGAGTTTAATTTATTACTAACTAGTGGAGTTCGGTTATATCGCGTTTCCAAGAGAACCTTTCAAAAGTCCGCAATAAAAACTATCCTATGTTCTTTCTCAAGGTCTACTCTATCTCTGTACCAAATTTCAATAAAATCAGTTCAGTGGTTTAGGCGTGAAAGCGTAACAGACAGACAGACAGAGTTACTTTCGCATTTATAATATTAGTAGGGATTGTGAAAAAATATTACCATAAAAGTCGTTAGTGTAGAAAGTATTTCTTCAGAAAATCTGCTTCCAATGTAGATACACGGAATTATACAATGGTAGTTACGCGGATTTGCACTATCCCCGACGATATCATATTTAAAATTACTAAAAATTCGTCTAACTCCATGTGCTTATTATATTTTTTATTCACTTATTATGCTCTATATTGCTGTTGCCAATGGAACCTATAAATTTTAACTATACCTAACTTCTAAATTCCAATGTGACAAAGTTATTATTAAAAAACATATATATAATAAATTTTCACAAAATTACCTAATTTATATTTCTAACAGAAAAATCAACATTCAGGTATATGTGAATCCATCCAGATAAAATATTAAAGAATACCAAGTAACAATTAAAATGTATAAAACCTCCTTTCTGTCTCGGGAACTTTTTTTCAACCATATTTTTTAAGCTCTTCTATTATATGAGCAAGGGCATGTTGAGCAAACTTCGACTGTATGTAAATTCAAATTTATATTAAATATATGATTTCATATTATTTTTGGCAAGGTGCTTTCTGTAGTCTTTTAAAGAGATCTTGTGATGATCCATCTTGACCAGACATGTGATGTGATACAGTTTACATTAAGTTACAATAAATATACTTAAAGAATTATTGAAAAAAACCTAACAATATAATATCTTAGTAACAAATATACAGATAACCTATTTTTCATAAATTTCAAATTCCTTCTATCACATTTTATAACATTATAATAATAAAGCTAATCTAATGATTTAAATTCAATTCAAAATGTACCAAATACTGTACATAAGTTATTGTAAACATTCAATAAGATTTACAAGTTAATTCATGTAATAAAGGCCACATATTTTTTAATTGATCAAGGCACAGTGTTTGAAATATTTCTCATCCTTATTACCTACCAAGTAACAATGCCTATAGACTAATGTATAAATTGTTTTTCTCATCAATATTATCAAAAAAGGTGACGGTAACTAACTTAACACCTTTAACACTTGAATAGTTATTGTTAATTAATTTAATAAAAAGACGAACACACATGCAAAATAAAAATTTGCTCAAGGAACATTTCAAGGTAAAGCAATCCATGAGACGATGCCAATGTATAATTGGCATGCCATTGTCCATGCCATGCAGGTTAAAACAACACTAGCCTCTTGCACTAGGCTTTAGGTTAAACTTAGTTCACACTTATCAAACATTCACAGCTCTATGGTCACCGATGATATTTGGTAACGGTGAATCTATATCTGTGTTATGGACACCTCTTCTGTTTTTATCTCTGAACGAACCAAAGCCAGAGTCATGTGTTGTGGCTGGGGACGTACCTACGAATATTCGTGGCATGTCGCACTCTTCACACTTGTCTAATAACGGATGGTTTCTGAAGGTGCACATGTGGCATTGCCATGATGCTGATGGCCGTTGTCCAGTGTATATGTTGCTGTAAAAGTTGCCCGTGTCATCTGCCTCTGGAAGGGGCATTACACGGGCTAGTGAACAAATACTTCATTATTAATATCACAAAACAATAATATAATTTATTAATAAATCTATATAGTATAGGACTACAAGTCTTTAATATACCTGTAGCCAATTTTCTTATAATTTTTTATCAGAGATAATCTATGAGAATGAGCTGAGGCGAAGACATTACTCACTTTTTTTTATCTAATATTGAGATTTTTTTTTTAAATTGCGCAATATTTCTTCAAATACTTATAATGGTGTACTAGGTTTCTCTTAAAAATTTAGTTAAAAATTAAACACTATTTTAAAGTAAAAATTGACAGTAATCTAATATCAAAAATGGGGGAAATTTTTTAATCAACATAATATGATGATGAAATAAAATGTATATTTATGCAATGTATGTGACATATTTCTAAGTGGTTTTTTTGTATATAAATTGTCGTACCGGTGCCAATCATTTCCAATCTTTTCGCCATAGTGTCACATTCATCTCTCAACCTTTCAACGCAATCTTTAAGTCTCTGTGCAGCATTCGCGCTAGGTGGTGGTGCAGCTAATATCTGTGTTTCTCTGTTCAACTGTGCAAGAGACCTCTTTTCCTGTGCTAGGGCCTCCGCTAAACGGGACAGACGCTCCTTTTGACGCTCCACTAGCGAACGATCTAGAAATATATAGAACATAATTCAATAAACATTTTTACCTATAAATAAAACTATTTTAGTGTATGTTTCGATGGTTAGGTAATTTTGAGGGACCAAGTTTATTGGAGAATGAGTTAAAATTATCATAATTTGAATAATTTCGTCATCATTTGTTATTAACGACAAAAGTATTTTTTGCCAAAAAGGCCTTGGATGTATCCAAAAATATTTAGTCCAAAAGTTTTGTCATACAATATGTAAATGACAACACAACTAAATGACAACAGTAAAACTATAAATATCATAAAACAAATATAAGTTATAATTATAATTGGAATAAAAGTATTAACTTTAATCAGTTGTAAAAAATGTTAAATGCTAAAGATATATTTAAAAATACATCCAATAAATCTTAATCACCTGTAAATGAAATGCAGAGAGTTATTTTCAGTATCAATTGTTTTTCTTACATTATAAAGCGTTTTTTTGTTAAAGCAGAAATATTTGATGATAATGGGACCTACTTTACATAAAACTTATGGACTAATATGTGAAAAATTACAATTACAGATAAAATACAAAGCATGATGTAATATTGCATCTATATGGGAATATGTTAAGTGACTATACCTTATGGCTTACTAGTTAAATCCATCAGTATTCAAGTCTTGTCAATAGATTTTAAATTGTTGAGGAAAATTGAAAAAACATACTTTAACTACTAAGTTGGTATTGATGTCATGTCATGTAAACAATTTATAACGGATATATTATGTATACATAAGTTTTAATTTGCACATATCTTTGTACCATTCTAGTAAGCCACATCTCAATGAATAATATGACAAAGGAAAAATATGCTACTAATGGTTATTATATTATCTTCTGATGATTATAAAAATTTAAATATCCATGCAACAATATTTAAAAACTTACCATGTGTTGGTGGTTCAGGAGCTGCTCTCGTTGGCCTCGGTGAATCAATACGTGATTGCGGCGGGGGCGGAGCCCTACGCCGTGGAGGACGGGCTGTGCTAGGACTTACTGTCACCGTTACATGTCCTTCGAATCCAGCATCCTCATCTCTTGCGTCTCTAACCGGACTTGCCATGTTAGATGTTGGTGTACAAACTGTTAAGTTCACCGAAGTTATAGCTCTCGGACTCTCATAATCTTCTAACCATGGATCCCCGTAACCTCTTCCGAGATCCATATGACAGTTCACATTGACCGATAGATTGAGAGGATACCCTCTGTCAGGTCGATACAGTTTTTCTTTGCATTCCGTCTTATGAGGTGCCGGTGAAACCGTTCTACAGGAACTCGGCTCGGGATCTTTTGAATTCTCTTTAAATGCGGTGTCTGGACTTAGTTTGATAAAGTTTAATGTGTTCGGTCTCTGCGGCTTCTCAGGTTGAGCGGCAGGTGGACTCGTTTGAGTTTCCTTTTTGATAGTTTTCTTTTCCTTCGCCTCCTTTCCGACCTCCAACCTTTGATTCAGATTGCACTTGATCTTGTTGCTTTTTAAAATCTTATAATTTGTACTCTCTGGTTGCTCGCTGTCTATGACAATCTCCTTTTCTGGAGGGGTGCTTTCTGGAGCATTATTTGTTGTGGGAGAATTTTCCAGTAGACTAGGGTGAGTCTCTGTGTTATTTCCGTTACTCAATTCTAAATCGCTAGGTGACTCTGCTGTATACTTGGCATAACAGTTATCAATATTAATTACAGTTACAGGAGATGAGGCATTATTAGATTTTTCCTCAACAGTATTAACAACGTTTTGGTTAGCATCTGTATTCAGCTTAGGTTTTTCTTCCTCCGCTTCACTGATTGAGCTGATTAACGCCTTTTGAGGTGTTTGGCAAGTTATGGACTTAACAGCTGTAGTCTTTACAATTTCATGCTTGACTATAGGCTGGTTGCGACATTTAACTGGTGGATTAACTTTTAGCTCATTCTGTTGTCTGGCAGCGGCTAACGACGAGGCGTGGTATGCGTGTGTTAGGGAGGCCTTGACTTCGCTGTGGAGGTGGGTTTCACAGGCTTTCTTGTCGTGGCAGTAGAGCTCGATAGTTTTAGACACAACATGATCAGGAACACCGGGAAACTTTTGTTTCAGTTCATGAAACAATTGCATAAGCGATATATTTGTGCAGGCACATGGAGAAGGGCTCGCAGCGCTATCGGAGGGGGCAGACATCGCCGCCCATCCTCGCGGAGAAGCACCTCTTCACCGCGAATTCCCCTTTTGCTACAGCTGTCGCAATAATTTAACACTCACCGTAAAACACCTATAAACATCGTCTTGCAATACCGAAATTTTATTGTCTTTTCACTATAGTGACGTCACAAACCCTAAAATCTCTTTTCTGTACTCACACCTTTACAAGAATTAACTTTCACGGACACGAATATTCATGACTCGCTAATCCCTATTGTACACATATGACGAAAAAGAGCACATAGCGAGACAAAGCTGGATTTTTATATCTTTTGTTATCATCATACCAGAGCTATTTTTCGACCAGTTGCAACACCTTTTCAAGTGACTGCTTACAATATTTTTAATGCATCCGATTAACTGTATGTTCGTGTTTCTAAAACAAATTATATTAGATAAACTCAAGGGACTAAACATTTGTATATCCAAAAATAAAATTACGAATATCACAAACTTGTCAATCCAAAACTTCCATTTTGGTCTTTGACTATAGACTCCACTCTATATTTATTATTTTAATTGTCAAGTTGAGTTTGATATTTCGAGACATTTAAGAAATGGATTGTTGTTTGTATTATTACTCCATAATTCTCAAATTTGGGAATAATAGCTCTTAGTACTTACATAATATAAGAAATTAGGTAAACTTATGTATTATACAATTTTCTATTTTAAGTAATATTTCATAGACAATGTTACTTAGGATGTCATGAATCAGTTGACACATGACATTTCAAGAATTGAAAATAAAAGTACATTACATTAAATTGTCATCATCGTTTAAACAGAAACTTTGTTTAAATTGATATAATTTACTTAGCATAGTTATTTTAAAAAGGAAATTATGGTAGACGATTTAAGAAAACACCTCAATCATTTGCTTGAGAAGTAATAACATAAAATTTAAGCTTTAGTTTTAAAAGTAAAGTAAAAATTCTTAACAACCTTTCTATCCTTTCAGAGTAAACGGATTACATTGTATTTTAATAACCGATCGTGATGGAGTTCCCGTAGTGAGATCTGTGACTGAGAAAGCCCCGCAACTGGCTCTTAGGCCAAACTTTATATCAACTTTTGGTATGGCTACAGATCAAGCAAGCAAACTGGGTCTAGGGAGAAATAAAACTATTATATCAATGTATTCGAGTTATCAAGTAAGTTAAATATTTAACAACTCAAATTATATACTAAATATATGATAGATATAATTTGAAATTATATTTCAGGTGATTCAAATGAATAAGCTTCCACTTGTAATCACATTCATTGGTAGTGATAACTGTAATACAGGGCATATATTATCACTGGAAAGTCAAATAGAACCTTTCCTCAAGGATCTAGAAAGTATAGTTGCCGATGCCCCTTAAGTTATATTATAATACACATATTGTATTATTCTTCTTATAATTACCATCAGAAGCAAATAGGTATTTTTTTCTATTTTATAGTTATTTAAGTTTTTAATTCAAATGTGCCTTTAACATTATTTCTCGTTATTTAATCGGTTTATTTGCATTTTTTAATTGATTTTAAGCTTCGTATTTGTTTGAAAATTACCATTAAAATTTATGAGATTGCCAATCAGTTGATCCTAATCTGGGTTTATTATTACTCAGACCAACTCATTAATACTAAAAGGGTAAATGAATGGTCACCAATTTCTTGACTGTAAATTATTTTTATAATATAGGTATTTCATCGTTAGAATATTTTGCTTTCTACTGTTTCAGCATTATTGTCATTGTAACACTCAAATTTTTATTTTTCTTGTTATCTTTTTTTAATACCGAGTATAAAAGTTCTTTAAAATGCATATTATTTATAGTGAAAATAATATTATGTATGTTTTAAAGGTTATACAAGCATATATTTTGAAAAAATATTTTAAGGAAAATAGTATATTAAGAAAAGGAAAATTAGATTTTTTTTGTTGTTCGAAGGCTTCAGTGACATCACTTTCTCAATATTGTAAATCATTGAGATATATGTGGCTTTTTAAAAAATATGTAAATATATAATTGTATATATAAAATAAAGTTATACTTTGTGTCATTATAATTTTTTTAACTACCTAACAATAAATATGACATGCAATGATTTTAAACACTTAAATTTTAAGAGTAAAATAAAAAAGACTGAACAATCTCAGCATCATCTTAGGTCTTTGCTTCTAGTCGCGACTTTGTTCGTTCACAAGTCCTTCTTTATATATGTAATTTTTTAGTCCTTATTTAATTAAATAAATTCAGTATAATATCGGCACACGACATTGGCGAAATCTACAAGGAAACGCCACTAACTAAAAACAAGAAGGAGAAATAAAAAGGTTTTTAGGGAAAATAAATCAAACAAGATACAGGCAATTATCATTTAATACATAATCAAGAGCTATCATGATGCAGTGTCATAGAAGCATGGGGAAGAATATTCAAAGTTGATTTTGGTTACCCATAGCACAAGCGTGTTTTCAGTTACAAAAGTCATGCATATAGAATTAATTTGCATTAACCGATTTTATCAGTTGCAATCGTTTACGGATTAAAATATTTTTTTGTATTTATCAAACTTTAAAAATTCTTTCATGATTTAACTGTCAATTTGACATATGCAGTGGAGCTGTCAAAAGTTATTAACATTTGACAGTGATGTCGCTCTAATTAATTTGTTGAATTTTAATGCTCCAATTTGTAGATAAAGCTTCCGATTGGCGTTATATTAGTTTTAAGCTTCTTTTGACGATTAGAGAAATTATCTTGGAACTTCATATATTTGTTTCTTAATTATTCTAGTACGGGTGATAAAAGAGGTTTCCCAGTGAGAGCACGGATCACGTTATTAGCGGCGAGTACTCCCATATCGCTCCGCGTGCGTTCTGTAGCACTACCGATATGAGGAAGAATGACTGGAAAAGAATGAATGTGTTTAATATCATACATATATACCGACCTTTTTGACTGTTTTAGACGTAATATATTTAGGAAATAGGTTGTATAGAATAATGAGTCTAATTTTAAATAATGTTATTTGTAAATTTAATCGGAAATAAAGCGTTTGCTAGCTAGCCAGGACTTTAAAAATTTTAAAAACAGTTGCCACTAATTAATTTTTATTAGTATATTACAGCAAATTTATTGTGTTTCAATAACTCAATAGAAGCATGATCTTTCTATTCAATTAAAATTATTAATCGTGTTATAATGATAGATTAGTTTAAGATTATATTGTAAGTAACTCACATATGTTTGGTAGTGACAATAGTTTGTGGTCTTTAGGTAGCGGTTCGGGCGTGGTCACGTCAAGACCGGCCGCGTATATGTCTCCGTTCTTCAGAGCGTCGTATAAAGCATCTTGATCTATCAGGTCTGAAGAAAAAATAAACAAAAACACTCATTTTAATTAAAAAATGTATATATCCTATGTAGCAAGTTAGTCAGTATCATTTTTCTGCTTTAAAAACTTCATAATACTGTATTCTACAACATATATTTAAAAAGCATTTAACTGTTGGAAAGACTAAGTTTTTATTGCAGTAGAAAATCACAAGTAACTTTTTAACGTATAATGTATGTTTAAAAAATATATAATAATAAAAAAACTAGTAGCTTTACAAAAATGTTTATCAATCCTAAACGACGTACATGTATATTGTAGTCGCTATGCAAAGTTTCAAAAGCATCAGTTGTCATACAAGATACATTGAAATCAAACTTAAAACGTCTCTACTGAAAAATTGTCATCTTGCACATGGCCCTTATACATAGGAGCCATCGATATATATGTATATATATATTTTTTTTTCAATTAATTCTCACCTCCTCTGCCTACGTTAACAATAATAGCGTTCTTCTTCATCTTAGCGATGGTTGTTTTGTTTATCATGTGACGAGTCTCATCGGTCAAGGGAACAGCAAGGATTATGAAGTCGCTCTGGCTCAGAAGATTATCCAGAGATACGAACTCCGCATTAAGAGCCTTCGCTGGAAATAGAAATATAATTTATGAGGAAATTCCACTAATTTTTGGTCTATTTTTGATGAATAAAGCTATTTTTTCATAATCATTAAAGAGTTATGCCCATATAAATATATTACTATACTAGCTTTCCGCCCGCAGCTTCGCCAGTGTGGAGTTCGGTTATATCGCGTTTCCAAGAGAACCTTTCAAAAGTGGAGGATAGAAATTATCCTATGTTCTTTCTCCAGGTCAACTCTATGTCTGTACCAAATTTTATTAAAATCAGTTCAGTGGTTTAGACGTGAAGGCGTAACAGACAGACAAAGTTACTTTCTCATTTATAATATTATAAGTAAGGATTGTCCTAATATTTTCAGGTATTACAGGCACTTTTGAAGACTTGTTAGAATTAAATATTCGTGAAATTTATATGCCAAAAAAATTATTTTTTGTAATTTGGAATTTTTTACATATTCAAATTTACGCCCGTGACATAGACAATATAGACAACATTTGCGCAGTATCTATATTGGAATAACTCTAGAGTCTAGTGTATATATCAAACCTTCCGGTTTTTCTCTATGTCCGGTGTAAAGGAACTTCTCTACTTCGAACCCTGCCAATCTTTTCACAGTCGCCTGTCCAATTCCACCGAGTCCTATAACTCCGACGGTACTTCCTCTCACATCCTGTCCTAGAGTCTTTTGGAAACCGATCTCCCAGTCGCCTCTGTAAAACGTTTTAATATTGGCTTGTATTTCTTATTGTCTATGGCGTCCTGGTATAAATTGCATCTTTCGCCCAAAAGCTAATGATTTTCGAATGAAAGACCTTGAAAATTCCTGTTTCAACTTTCAAGGCTCAACTCGTATATTAAGTATATTCGGTAAAAAAAATACAAGTCGTAAAAAAAAAATTACTGACATAAAATTTATAGGTACATAGTTTTTCTTATGATATTCATATTATTAAAACGACAAATGTTTACATTTATTGAAATAAAATATAAACTTGAAATGCATCTGCAACGAAAAACATCACTATTAACAATAACAGTATTAACTGACAAATCAGTTTATCAATGACAGAATTCTATTATCTCTTCTATAAAATCTTTTACCAAACCAATGCATACTGTTCTATTAAATCATCACGAAAAAGCTAATCTGAAGTAGATAGTCATTTAGTTGACATAATCTTGATAATTCCGCGTATCTGCATCAGAAGCAGATTATCAGAAGAAGGTTTAAGCTGAAATATTATCTAAATTAACGACTTTTAAGGTATTTTTTTCACAATCCTACTAATATTATAATTGCGGAAGTTTGTGAGTGTGTGTGTATGTTTGTTACTTCTTCACGCTCAAACAGCTGAACCGATTTTAATAAAATTTTGTATAGAGGAAGCTGACGTCCAGGAATAACACATAGGCTACTTTACATCCCGGAAATCCCAGAAATCCGCGGGTAACACCGCGGCGCGCAGCTAATTGGTAATAAATTAAACATTAAACAATAACGAATTGTGAAAGAAATTACTTTAAACGTCATTAAATTCAGAAAACAACTCAATTTTTTCCTTCTTCTGTATAACTGCTTCGAAAGCAGTTATGCGGAATTAACGATTGATAGTTACGCGGATTTTGCATTATCCCTGACGATTTTCATCTCAATCGTATATATTTACCTGCGGACTTGATCAAGGTTTTCCGTTAACCGTCTCGCTGCACCCAAAATTAGGGCAACTGCGATTTCTGCGACGGCCGAGCTGAGAACATCTGGTGTATTGGATAGTTTAATGCCGCGCGCTTTCAACTCCGGTACATTGCAGTGATTGTACCCAGCGGATACCGTGCTTACTATTTTAAGCTGAGGTCCTGAAATAAAATTATTTCGTCATAATATTTGTTTTTTTTTTTAAATATGGTCTTCATCCGTGCACATGTGCAAAGTAGATTCTGCATCTTTCGGTCATAATATTTTTAAGTAGCAACATTATTAATAAAATGTTTTATATTTAAATCTCAATCATGATGAGTTACCAGCATTAAAATTGGTTAAGATTATGTTTTTTTTTTACTTTTATCATTTGTGCAATTGATTTAAATCTTATCTTATGTCACATCAAAGTATTTGTATCTATCCGTTGTATTATTAACACTGTCAGTTTAATATCAACTGATAGAAAAATCTAGAAGCCATGTAAACTATATATTAAAAATAAGATTCTTTAATCTTACTACAAATTAAAGATTAATTAATGAATGAAAAAAGACGGTCCTAACAATAAATGTAGTACAAAATTTTACATTGTATTAAAAGTTTCACAATAAGTTAATATATTTATTTTAATTTAGATATACAAACGTAAAGAATACTATATTCAATCTGTAGCAGAAAAATATTCTTTTTAGGATCTTTTTTTTACAAACCTCGTGACCATATGACAGTTATTATTATTAAAAATAAAAATAATGTAAGATTCAGTGGCGATATACGATCTTAAAGTGACAGGTTTGTCAAATGATAAGATTATTAAATTATATTACACGCCTTAAACACGCTTGATTTCTTGGAAGATAATTAAAATAGTCTTCAGATAAATTAAATATAAGTAAATAATGAATATATATGTTCCTTGCATTCCTATGGCTAAGTTAATAATATAAGTATTCATAGATTACGCCATATTACCAATATGGCGTCTGGAATGAACGGCTGTCCTTGGATTAGTGTTTAAGACGAACTTATACATATAATAAAATGGTTATTATTATTATTTTATACCTTAACCACGTATGTTTTATTTAAAGATTTGGAAAATATACAGTTATTGAGTTTCTATTACGAGAAGTAAATGTTTAAATTGTCATAGTTTGCAAATAAGGAATGAAAATCAAGTATTATTCCGTATTTGGATATCGTTGGAAATTACGTAATTTGAAATAATATTCACGTCTCGTCTGCATGATCACGGTTGCTGTAAAGTAGCCGAAACGTCGGGAGTATGTTTAAAAAATAATAAAATAACGCGTACGTAGTAATCAGAAAAATATTAGTTTCATTTATATGAATACTTGTGAAAGTCTTAGATCTCAATGTGAATATATTTTTTTAATATCTCATCTTAAAAATTCTTAAATACTTCTGATAATTCAATTTTTTCTGGTGCTCTTCCATAATTTTGTTTAATCGGTAAGTATATAGAATTAAATAAAAATTATAATTTTCGATTATTTATCATTGATTAAAATGTTAAAATATATCCAAATGTTATAAGGAAAAAGCAAGACATTAAGTTTTCTATAAATACTTTATCTCAAAACTCCTAATTTTTCTCAGATAAGTTATGCTACTTAAATATATCTAAAGTTTTTAAGGAATCCACGCAAACTAAAATGGTATATATATTAAGTATATGCTAAGATATAATATAATGTCTTAAAAGTGCCAACAGATGTAACATTATCTGTTATCGTTGAATACAGAATAAAAAACGACATCTTTTTGTTATGAAAATTGAAAACTATTACTAAATACGTTATTATTATTGCTAATCAATGTATTATAGTTAACATAATATTTATAATTAGTGAATGTCCTAAGCCAGCTTTTAATATTAAATACAATACTTTTTCGTATATTTTTGTGTGTGTTTTTTAATCAACGTAATTAAAGCTATAAATATTATTATATCACATGTACTACTGTTTGTTCGGTAGTAATCTTTACTAATTTATGAATTTATTTACAAATTCTCAACTGAGATCATGATAACAAATGTTTCAACTTGTTATACAAAAATAATATATATTTAAATCTATGTGTATACTTTGGAAGCAATTCTATGGTAGTAAAGAACTATTGTAAATTATACTCTAAATGAAAATATTCATAGTGTTCTTATATTGATACCAGTTGTATTTTTGATAATATTTTCGTGGCAAATAACTGTTATATTGTAATCCTTTAAAACCATATGAAAATAAATACAATATTTATTAAAAGCTTTAAGAACCCTGTTAAGAATTCAAAAAATAAAACTAATTTATAACAACAACTATAACAAGAAAAGGCGTGTGAGATTCTTGATGTATTAGCGCTTTACAATGTCTTGACCCTTGACCAAGTTATATTAATTACTAGCTTTCCGCCCGCAGCTTCGCCCGCGTGGAGTTCGGTTATATCGCGTTTCCGAGAGAACCTTTCAAAAGTCTGGGATAAAAACTATCCTATGTTCTTTCTCAAGATGATCTCTATCTCTGTACCCAATTTCATTAAAATCAGTTCAGTGGTTTAGGCGTGAAAGCGTAACAGACAGACAGAGATACTTTCGCATTTATAATATTAGTAGGGATAGTAGGGATTGGGAAGAATATAGTTTGTTTTCGAGTATTGTGTGACCTTAGAAACATTAACGGGTATTTTAAGATCAAAACGGGATAGAGGCTTCAACTCCTCGGGAGTGGGAATGCTCAATACAGGGCGTACGAATATATGAGTTGTGTAAAATTGATATTAACGAGATAAAAGTAAAATAAAACGGCCTTATATATATGGCAAGATTAATTTACATTGCCCATGTCAAGTTAAGAACAATAATTATAATTTTCATGGCAATTGATTTGATTATTACTTTTCAATAAAACGTCACATAACATCTGTGATGTCATTATATATCTTAAGAAACATCTTGTGCACAAACCTCGCGTATATCACACTTCCTCCGCCTCCCACCCTTATACCCGGAAGGAATTCAGTTAGACTTATTGATTTGCTTAAAATATTTTACCTATTTCCACAAACGAAAATCTAGCTTAACAAAGCCGTACCCATCATCATTAAACTATATTTATTAGAGTTTATTTCATACTACTCACCAGCTATATCAAGCAGTTCCTTCGTGATGGGATGATGAGAAATCCACACCAGGGCTGACGCTCCAGGAAGAATCTTCATGAGCTCCTCCTTGTTCTCTGTTATACCCTCCTTCCCATAATGGTTATATTTGCTTTGTACAACTGTGAAACTGTTATACAATGTTAATAAATGAAATAATACTCACGTTAAACATTTTGTGAAGTAATATTAATTATTTTTTCAGTAATATGTCATGTTTTTTACTACGAGATTATTATTAATAAGTATTTTATTTTAAAATCTTGTTTTCAAGATTTTAAATCCAACAAAGTATATATATTTTTTTAATGAATATTCACTATTACAGTCATCTAAACATTACTGTTATATAATATTGTTCTACTTGATAAATATGTATATACAATAAAAACTTGTATTTATAGACGATTTTAACTTACAAAACATTATTTATTTTAAAATTTTACATCTTGTTCATTAAATCTATGTTGAAGTTAATTTATCAACTTGCAACACTACTTGACATTGCAACAAGTGTCTAAAAATCCTTAAATTGACAGCTGTCTATCCAAAATTCAACGAATGGAATATCTAAAATTGTATTTTTAACTATTATTCTTAAGAAATAAAAATGTTAGCATAAATTAATAACATTACTCACTGTTCCTGAAGAACTTTCAACCCACTCGCGGGATAATCGTTGGATGAAACTACAACTTTTAGATCTTTTGTCATTGTTGTTGTCAAAGCGTGGTTTTCCGGCGGAATTGAGCTCGCTACTAAAACTAGCGCTAAGATAATAAACATGTTACAGGTGGTTTTTTATCAGTAAAACAATTGAGATATTGTATTTTTATCGAGCCTGTCTGTGACGAGTTATGGGCTATGGCGCGTTTGAGACTGCACAAGAAATAAACTACGTACATCTTATTAAAAATAAACATTGTCTCGGGTGAAGGCCCGAAGGTTAACAACACGTTCTTTAGTTTTTTCTCGTTACATTAATGGCTAGATAAGGAAGTTAAATGTAGTGTTAAACTAAATTATTATCAAACTTCGATAAAATATTACATAATGGTTACAAATGTCGTGTTACTCTAACCTTTGCAAGCAATTTTTGTACCTTTATACAGAAAGTATTTGAACATTTTGTAATAGGTAATTGATTGTAAATATTTTTTAACTATAATAAAATTTTGAAAACTTTGACACAACAGTAGGAATGTAGATTAAATCAAAAAACATTGGTATTCCTGGAAAATATTAGGATTAAAATGCCTGTAGTCAACAAACCTTAAGTTTACTGACGTTTTTTTGACTATTTTGAAATACTCGATCCAATTATTATGAACAAAGAAAAGTTATAAAAATATCTAATTTATCTGCAAATTATAGATATGATTTGGAATTCAAAGTTGTACTTATTATATTCATTGGATTTTTTCAAAGGTTTAGTCCAATTATTTGTATTATATTTCCTGCTACGTGCGAAACATACACAACTCTAAATTCATATCAGAAATAGTGACTAAGTAAACGTTACGTAGTGCAACGCCATCTATTTGTAGAAAGAAATATTAAATACTAGTAGCGCCATCTTTTGTGGAATAGCAATATGCATATACCATCAATAGATGGCACTCTATGTTTATTTCAAATAAATTTAAAAAACAGTAATCCAAAAATTAGTGCATAATAAAACTTGAAAAACATTTTTTCTAATTTTCAAAGCATTATGGAATTTGTCATTAAAAAGGTGTGTCACCGTTTTTTCTAAGATTTACGTAAAAAAGTCATTTTTTTTTTAATTTGAAATATTATCTCTATATTTACAAAGATCATTAAATGTTATAAGAAAGATTACATTATTTTATTTGCCTTTCGAAGTTAGGCATAAAATAGTGTATCAGAGGCGGCGCCTTGGCCGCGGTTCAAGCATTTAACAGAGTGCCAGCTAAGTTCTGCCACATAGTAAATCAATGTACATTGCGTACGCCATTTAAGATTTAGGATCCTTTTATAAATAACTAATTATTTTACTGTATAGAAATGCTCTTTAATTCAACTACAATTGTTTTCATATGATTCTGGGTCTGCCTATTTGTGCTTGGTAGACTTATAATTAAAATCGAATAATATAGGAAATAGGAATTATATACATTAAAGATGGCATTGAAAAAACCTTGTGTATTTTCGAATTGCAATTAGGAGTTTTTTGCTTGAATACGTTTTTTGTGTGTTTTAACTAATGTTGTACAGTATAAGTATATATATGTATAAGTACATTACGTTTTTGTTTTCGTCTTCTATCTTTTCTAAATAAACAATAAACACACATAAGAAAGATTTTCACACTTATACATACTTATGTATAATATTATATGTATTTAGCCAACTTTTTTTATTATTCTACATTGTATCAGGCGTTTCGATTAATTTTCACCAGCCCTGTTTAACGGAGTGTTATAAAAAAAGCAACATATAGTTTTGTTTGAAGATCACTAAGTTAATTCTTAAAAAACGTCGTCTAGAAATGAAGGCTAAGTTTTTTCAAGTTACTCAGAAGTTCTGAAAAATCTCAGAACAATTTTTCTAAAAGTTTTACGTTATAACGTCATCTGAAAAGTTTTTCTGAGACGAAACTTCTCAGCATTCCATGTATTCACCATACGGGTGTCGGGTCCATCGTTGTAGTGAGAGGAGCTTCAACAGTGACTGTGACTTGCGACCCAGGTGTAGGTTTAAGGGGCCCCTTAACTAACGCGCGTTATACGCTCACCTCCACTGTCCAAGCTCCTCTCCCTACCTAACCAAATTTCAAAAGAACCTACTAGGGCTGCCTTCGATGTACGTTCCAAGAATGAATTAATGTGGGTTCTGGACAGGCCCAAGTCTTTTAGTAGGTTGTAGAGAGATTTAGCTGTTAATTGTTATACCTCTTGCAGCTCGCTCGCACTTCCACCGTATATATTATATTTCAATTTGTGATTTGTATCGAAATTTTAAGAAAATTATAAGCCATTTTTTTTTTCACGCCAGCGCTGATAGCATTAATCAATCATAGAAATCATTACTTATATTGTTATAATGTTCTGATTTAATAATATTAATATTTTGTTATTGTTTCCCAAATTAATATATAATTCGGGTAAATATATCAAAAGTCAAAATTAACAATTGGTTTATTGGCACGACATGAGGAATTTCCGTTCAGCGATGTTCGATCACCTGTCACTACAAGGTGTCGCTCAGGAGCTGGTGTACTCCACTACGTACTGAGAATATAAATAATAAACTATTAAATAATAAATAATAAAATTATCCTTAAATTTTTCATAAAAATCGTCTTTAAATTCCAATGAAAATAGTAATATTAAGAGCCTATATTTGTTACACTCGATGTATTTACATTAATTAATATTAAAATTAAACTAATATTATATACGGATTACTTCCCGTATTTTATTATTTTAAAAAACTACATACTTTCAACGTTTCGGTTACTTTACAGCAACTATTACGGATATACGAAATCTCGTAGTAATCCGATATTAGTTTCATTTAAATGAATACTTTCGAAAGTCTTAAATCTCATTAAAATATTATTTGTCTCATGAGTATGATGTAATTTTTAAACAATAAAATACATATTATCATGTGATTTAAAATAAAATAAATAAATATCAATATAATATATTATAAGTAGTATAATTCTCAGTGCGTAATGGAACGTGTTTCGCGCCATTCCGTTGTTCCCGCCACCTGTAACATGACATCAGGTGGAGACGTTATTATAGTTTCAGTTTTCGGTGATAATATTACACTATCTTTATTGGCCGTTTAATTAAACTAATGATTTGATCACCATATCATTTGAAACTCAATTTGTAGTATAATCTATGGCTTGTATTTTCTTTATCGTGTTTTAAAAGTATTGTCTGATATTTAAAATTATTTTTATCTTCACCTCTCGTGTTCAATATTTATGGTTAGTACATACATTTTGTAATAATTCATTTGTTATTTTGTAATAATGCATCTTAATAGTTCAATTAGCAATTTAAAAACATCTGCCACACGATCCTTACGAAATGACGGAAAAGTTTTTAACAAAACTAAATCATTAGTATGAGAAAGTAATGGTGACGTTTCGGCATATAAATAAATAGACGAATGGTGGCGGGGTTAGAGGTTAAGAAAAAAATAACACTTCCTTCAATAACAATTTGAATCTTACGTCCTAGATAATAAAGACGATTAACTAAACAAATTAGATTCGTGTTAACGATATGATGTAAAGAAAAATTCACAGTTTGTTTCTGCGAAAAAAATAATAATAAACATGTTTATGGAAATTTCGACCTAGTGTTTACGTGTTACGATCAAAATTCGATTGGCAGGTTACAGATTGTCACAATTTTGTAGATATTTAGGCAATCCGAATCACATGTGCCGGGCTTCAAGTTTTTTTATGTTTCAACTCAGTTTTTTCCGTGCCACGCCACTGTGTCAACAATTCCCGCGAACAAGGACTAATTTAGTGGCATTTAAATGTCAGCCGTAAACATGTGGACAAACAGATACTAATATAGTTTATTATACGGCCATTGTAAGTTGTGTACGAAAAGAAATTTGTAAAGAAATGATTTGTATAGAATAAATATGTCCTGTGTAAATTTCATAAGTTTCGATTCATTTATTATGGAGAATGTTTTTTTAGTAATTATTATAAATATAATATATTTAGTTAAAAACGAAGTATCTTATCTTTGGTTGTTAATCAAAGATTACTTATTACGCACCCTAAACATCTGTAATCCATGTTATAGTGATGTTCCGTATAAACCGATAACATTAATTAGTGATGTACCATATTGCAACCAAAAATTATTTTGAGAAATCATCTCCGGTATGTGATACCGCATGCTTTGAGTATTTCACCCGAAATGTCCATTTATTGGTAATTAAGATAATTGTTTAGCTGGTTTAATTATTTCGAAACTCCGCAGAAGCCCTGTAAGGTTGTTAACGGTAATGAGACGCCATTTTTGGTACAAACGCGTACACCAAATACGTTCAGAAATAACTTTGACTCGGAAGATTTCTTTTATACCTGCTTTTTGTACGTAATGCTCGTTGCATAGATGGCTTAATAATGTTGCAAGATCAAAAAAAAGTAATTTTATTTAAAATAATCTCATTGTTTTCTGAGTTTACATAACAATTATTGCAAATTTTATATAATTTTTTTTTTAAATATCAACAGAAATGTTAAAATATTTTCAGCTCGAAATATTAACTGAAATTTAACTATACCTTTCACTATAACATTATCGGTAAGAATATTATAAAAAGTATATAAAAATCTATTTTAACAATTTTTTTATTGTGGATGTGTGTAATAATTATGGAAAATTAGTTTATAAAAAATGTGTATTAATAAATGTATTGTAATCAAATTGAAGCTATAAAAGCAAGCTTGTATACAGCTTGTGTTAAGTCCAACCAATTTCACAGATTCGTCACCGATTAGCTCTGGACACGCAATAAGACATCACAGTATTGGCACTACAAGAAATTTACACTTACGTACATTTATATTAAAAATATTACTTATTTTGGCATTATTGTATTATAGAGAACAATTATGTTATATATTGTATGCAAAAAGAAAGCTTTTTTTATATACATAAATTAATTCAAAAGGATTTTGATTAGTTTACAGTCAAATAAAAATTTCGACTCCTAATCGTATAAAATATTTAATTAGCTACTTTGAATTGGTCGTTTGTTTTCATATTTTAAAT